AAGACATCACTTTGTGCTTTAGAAAATTGTGATGAGGATTTTTCATAATTTCTTGAGATTTTATAGACTAAACAATGAGTCGAATAATCGGCAGATTACATGATAATGAAAATAATCGTTTGTTCCTGCCCTAGATTTGGTTTTACTGGAAACGGCGTGTGTATCCATGCTGGTGCTCTAGTCTCCGCTGATTTGCATATCTGACTAGCTTCCTGCAGGGTTTATTTCTATCCTCCAGTCAACATCAAGATGGACAACTTTAACTTTCCTATGAGATGACATTTAGGTGGTGCACTTCATTAGCTGCTCACGTTGGTAACTGATTGTCACTCAGCTCATTTGTCAGCCTGTTTATACAAGCTTTGAATGAACTTTCCAAAGTCCGACAAACTGTCAGACCTGTCAGACTTTTAGCACGGTGCTGCCACTGTCTATTACTGTACTTGAGAACATTGGGTGATCTGGGATCTTGAGATCTGAAGTGTAGCGATGGTAAGTTTGCTAAGACCAGCAGCGCATGATCTGTATTGGATGCTTGGGAATGACGCTGAATGGTAGCTCAGATCCTGGAGGAGTGACCGAAGTAATGGATGGGAGAAATGCCTTACGAAAGAGTACTTTGGCAGAACTGCTGGTAGAACTGGAATCGAGTAGCTACTAGACCGGTCTCGGACGATCTGACATGATTGAAGAAGTTGGATTAACTGAGAATGCATTTGGAAGTTTGGAAAAGAAGCCAGTGCTTCTGCTAAGATGGACCCTTAGTGGAGTGTGTCTTGTAGCCACTGTGGGCATGTTGATGAAATAAGACATGGTGACAAGATTGAATGATGTGTTGTGCTAGTTGTGACAGTGGTTGAGTTATTCAAAGCTGGCCTGTAACCCGAGAGAGGGCTATGCTGTTGGTTGAAGAGTATCGGGGACCATTCTGCTGTGATTTGTCTTCTTTGTAGAACCCCAAACAACTTGCAGAATATGTGGCAGCGGCGTACGATTGGTATCTTGGGGTGTCACGGTTGTTTGTGATAGAAAAAGTTGAACCCAATCCCACTGGCGAAGATTGAGCCAAGGCGAGGAGGAACTGGAGATCGAATGCTGATTGCATGAGCTTTCAATCCAAATTACAGTGTGAAACGGATTGTCTCAAGAGTGGATGATCCTTGAGGGATCTTTTGGTAGGCGGTTAGTGAGGAAAACACATGATAAGAAGAACAAGATCTCATGTAGTCTATGATGTGTTTGAGTAGACTAGTGAGCTGAAGAACGGGAGATGAAAGAGCTAGGATGACGAGTAAGATGATTAGCTGATGGCGGCGTAACAGGTTAAGAGGAAATACCGAAATTAGAAATGGAAATAACTTGGTGCTGCTAGGGCTGTGGAGGAAAGCTGGTGCCAGTACCGGAGGTTCTAGTTGTAGTTACTGGACTTGTAAGATTAGATGCTGGAGATCCTGGCATCCCAGTGCCAGAATCCCAGACTAGAGCGACCTGCAGAGATGGATGGATGTGGGCTGCAAGGGGTTTTTGCATCCCAGTGCCTACAATGACCCGTCTAAAGCTAACCCGAAACGGTTTCCAACAACAAATTGGATGGCTCTATGTAACGAACTGACTGATGCAGTCAGATTAGTGATGACTGGGAGTGAGCGGCATCCTGGTGCCAGAGCCCCTTCATTTTGAAACGATTGGTCACTCAAAACAACGTTGTTTATAGAGGTGGTATTCTGCTTTTTGGCTTTTCCCCTCTCCTTTATTGGGTTATATATCTTTTTTGTGCATGTAACAGGTTTGCAAAGTCCAGCCCAAAGGGAGTTCCCATCTCCCACAGAAAGCTATGCTCTGAAATGCTTGAAAACAGCTCGTTTGTAGTCCAGCCCTTCACTTCCTTTACTTGTGACGTCACAATGAAAACGCGTCAAAGCTTGCCAAGCAGCTAGCGGTTCAGGCACACCCTCAAACCAAGCCAAGTCTGAGCGGAGGCCCTTTGGCTCGACTCGCCTTTGTTTGGGTTTCCATTGTATGTTATTGTATAAATGTTGCACCTGTACCTGCTTCCAGGTACTTTTTTTCGTATCACCTCACCTCCATCCAGGTTCCAAGCCAGCTGAAGGATACTAAAATGTAACGTGAAAACACGACAGACTGCTGATCGGTCAGAGAGAATCACTATTCACTGCATCATCATAGCGTGCACCAGACAGAGGCCAGCAACAGAAAGTTTTATATTTTACAGTTTCGTATGTAATTTCATCACTAAATCCACTTCTGAGAAACTTTGAGGTGAGAAATCAGCTGTGTAGATTTCGAATATTGACAGTTTTACGAGAAGTGATGGCGGAACAAAAATGTGCTTGAATATTTGAGTTGAGGAGCTCCGCAAGTGGCTGCGGGGGAAGCTTGTGCCGACCCACAGGAGGAGTGTGTGAGGCTGGCCAGCCGCCCGCTCACAGAGTCCTCTGCTCCCGCCGTCACACAGACCGCTGCAGCAACAACGGCAGAGGAAAACACAGCTGGAAGGTTTTTATACCGCTTATCTGTCTTTAAATATAAAAATGTTTTAACTTAAAAAAGAGAAAGCTGTGTGGATTGCTGGTGTGTGTGTGTTTCGCATTGAACATTACGTTGCGGCAGTTGTGTGTGGCATCGCCATGACGACAAGCTACGTGCTATCTGCAATGGAAAACGGATATCGAAATCGAATCGAATTTTTCGGCAAGGCAGCATAGATTGTTAGAACACCATCAACAGTTCAACGTTTAGTCCTAAAAGACGATGCAACTCCGACACTGTAAGATGTGGAATAATGATGTTGTGTGGTTTTGGACTTCTGAGTAGTTATACCATCTGCTAGGTTACGGTCGCAGTCTGAAGCGGCTTTGATTTGGATCACACTAACTTGTTTCTTACGACCCGCCCTTCTCTGCTTCTGATTGGCTAGTTGTCCTTACCTGGGAGCTGCGCATGTGCATCTCCCAACAAAGATTTTGTACAAGTAAGATGTATCACTCTGTAGCTCAAGAGCGGAGCGTACAACACATAGGGTAAAAAGAGGGGCCTGTTCTGGTACACCCCCTAAATAAGATTTTGAACCTGAAAATGAGCATAATACCACCTCTTTAAATTGACGTTGGCTTGAAACGACTGCTCAATTGAAACGACTGTTGGCTTGAAACGACTCTTCATTCAAAACACTGTTCGCTCAAACCTACTCTTAGCTCAAAACTACTGTTAGCTTGAAAGACTTAGCTAGGAAAAAAATGTTTACTTGAAAATGACTCAAGCCAAAATAGCTAGAAGACGACTGCTTGGAATGACTTGGAATGGCTGGAAAATAGCTAAGCTAGGAAATGACTGTTGGCTCAAGACAATTGTTAGCTTGAAGTTAGCTTGAAACAGCTGTAGCTCGAAGTTGGCTCGAAACAGCTGTTAGCTCAAAAGGGCTTTTAGCTCAAAGTTAGCTTGAAATGACTGAGCTCGTAATGATTGCAAACTTGAAACAACTGTACTTAAGCCGTTAGTTTGTATGCTGCTAGCATCAGTTATAAAACAGAACTGGAGATGATAATTACTGAAAGATAAGCGAAGAACAGCATGTAGTGCCTGTCCTTTTGAAACGGTTTCCGACAATGACTTTTCGGATGGTTCTGTGTAATCTTGTGCGGTCAGGTTAGTGGTTGATGGGCGCGGACGGTGGGCACCCTGGTGCCTAATGCCCCTACTGAAATAGGCGGCTGAGGTTGCTGGAAGTGTACAACTGGGGGCGCTAGCATCTCGGTGCTGGGGGCCCCTAATGAAGCCTGCTGCTGTGGTTGGTAGATGTAGATGGCTGGGGTGCTGGCATCCCAGTGCTGGGTACCTGAAGCTGCTGGAGCTGGATGGCGGGGTGCTGACGACTCGATGTTGTCCTGAGGCTGCTAGTGCGGTCAACCGCAATGAGAGGTGGAGGCTTTGGAATTCTGGTGTTGGTTGACGTCCTGTTTTGCTTTGGTACTGACTTTTCTGCTATCTTGAGATGGAGGTAATATATGAACTGTCCCTTTAACAGTGGCGCTGACGTCACGGCGTGCGTAATGCGCCACCCTGAAAGGAACTGGTGTTGACGGAACTGAATGCATGGCACACTGACATGATAGCTTGAAAAGTTTGCTGTATTGTCTGTTCTCTAAATCGGAATTATTTCATTTTTTTAACCGTTTTTTGAAGAGAGCTATAGTTCGTGTCAAGATGTCCCGAATTCGTCTGATGGGGATAGCAATGTGCTGACAGTTCTCAAAAAGGTAAGTGAATGGAAGTAGCTTGTAATAATTTGTGTTATAGGAAGTTAGCGTAGCGTGCTCGACAAGATGTTGCTTGGTCTCGGTTCGTGTGAGGAATGCGAGAACGAACAAGAGGAAGTGTGTTGTGTGGGTATTTATGGAAATGCTGGGAGTGACTTCATTGATGTGTGTTCCCGCTCCTGAAACTCTGCTGGTAGTGCCACTAAAAAGCAGTTATGTTATAATTCAGTAGGAAATTAGCTAGCGTTAGCTAACTAACATTACATTAGGAACAATCCACAGCCTATTTTTCTGGATGTATTTTAGGTTTTGGAAAGGGAATAAATCATACTTCTCATTTCAACCTCTCTGGGTAGCGACTGTAACAATTACAAGTGCCCCAGGAACAGCTTTTGACCATATCTTGGATAAATCCGGCAAAAGAAAGCTAGAAAACACGTCTTTTGCATTAGAGTCAATGGAGCGCAGACATGATAGTGACGGACCTTAGTTAGGGCGAGGCCTATACTGTGCTGGGATTCGCCAGCCACACGTTCGGGGCGTGGCTTAGCAAAGGGTCAATTGTCCTAACACTGATCACTCAGTATGAAGAAGAATTTCTATTCTTTCTTACTGCTGGAAAAAACTTGTTGTGACATTTTCTATGGTCTGGTCAAAGCAGCTCCACAGTTGGCCACAGAAATGAGTCAACCCTTTGTTCCCTTCTCCCTCCCTCCCTCCTACCTCTTAGGGAGCAGTGTTGTCTGTAAGTTTCTCTGACGTCCTCTAGCTGGGAATATCTCTCGACCAGCACCTCCTTTTGTGACTCCAGACGAGGCTTCATGTCCAGGTTTTGCTCAGCCAGACTGCGATTTGATGCCAGGGCCATCTCTCTTTCCAGTTGGATGTTCTGGATCTGAAGGGGAGAAAAACAGGCAAAGCTGAGGTTAGCGGGGAATGTTTTTACCATTCCTAGTAGCTTGTTACTACATGTAGTGTAAAAGCGCTTTGAGTGGTCGAAAAGACTAGAAAGGCGCTATACAAGTACGGAGCATTTAGTTACTTATGGTTGGTTATGTTGCTCTCCACAGTGATTTACATTTATGGCACAGCATGTTTTGGGCATCACCCACTAAAACCCTGTTCATATGACCTCAGAATCATTATAGATACGATTGTTCATGTTTGTCTTTTGTGTCTTCATTTTAGAGCTTTTGACATTTATCTGTATAGACATTAATATAAAAAAAATAAGCAACATGAGAAACCTCCCTTCTGAGGTGCATTATATATGCACATTAAAATCCAAAAACAAATATCTCCTCATGAGCTTAAAAGGACTAGTTTGCATCACTAATTTGCTTTACTAACCTCAGATCATCCAGTCACCTCCTTTTCATCTGAAAACTGAAAATAATTTAGGATGTACCTGTCTGCAGGCTACAGGACAGAGCTGTAGGCTACACCAATTTAGTCTAAGCGTGATGTTCTCAACATTGGACAAGTAGGTAGTAGGTACTTTCTATAATTGAGCTATGTTACATTACATTAATTCATTTATCTGACGCTTTTATCAAAAGCGACTTACAATTGCTATACATGTCAGAGGTCACACGCCTCTGGAGCAACTAGGTGGATGTTTCACAGTGGGGGATTGAACCCGTGTCTCTCACACCAAAGGCATAGTCTTATCCATTGCGCCATTACCAGTTACATAGTAGCCAAAAGAAGTAGCCTACTGTGTAAGCTTTCCTGGTCAGCTGCGCAGTCTGAAGGAGAGGGGGGGTGTTAGCTAGTACTAACTGGATTCATTTTTCCAGCAGTTGGGGAAACAACAGGCTTTTCTTGATCTTGAGAAGCTAACACACCGTAAAAGACACCGCACATTTACTCCTAGAATATTTTACTCCACTCCCGTTCACCGTCACTAGCTGTCTTTCGTTTTTTAATGCGCATTTTGAAGTATCGCATTAGAAACGGTCGATGGAAACAGTAAAATTCGCTGACTGATCAGTTGTTTCTGCTGTCGCCGTCTTGCACAGTTGTGCAGATTTCTGCATGCCTGCCGAGAATTGCACGCACATGCTGGTAACGCTCATTTGTTCTGATAAAAGAGGTGGATGCAAATCTCGGTAGGTAGCCTTCATCATCTGTTCTGCCTAAATATGCATTCACCTCTTAAAAGGTCAGATACGTTGCTCTGCATATTGATGAAACGGGTTATCATCGCATATTCTTTGCAACATTTCAAAAGTACACTTAAAATTCACATGACAATTGGATGGAAACAAGGCTACTTTCTGCCACTCGGACAATGAAACACTCGCTACCTACCTCTACGGAGTTACACTGCTCTTATCACAGCACCTGTCTCGTAGATGTTCTGTGAAGAATGAGGAGAGGAAGCGAACCAAGCGATGAGTGTTACCGTGCTCGCACAGTGTGTGAGTGAAAATTAGTAGCACATTGATACATTGTGGGAAAATAGCGGCGGTCACAATTTAGCAGTGGCGCACCGCCGCTCTTAAATGCATATGGGGGAAACACTGGAGTCACATGACACCGGGGAGGGAGTATGGCTAATTGGGCCCAATTTGGACACACTCACTTAGGGGTGTACGAGGGCTGGACAATTAATTGAAAAGTAATCGAAACTGAAATTCAGAACCTCTAAAGCCTAGTTCACACTACACGATTTTTAGCCCAATTTGCCGGTGAGCTCGGTGACCGTCAGGTTGTGAACAGGTGTAAATCAGCGATCGATTGGTGGCCGGCAGTCGTTATGTGTGAACTACTCAATGATGCATCAAAATATGGCGTGTATTTTTGGTCATAAGTTGTGAGCGTGTAAAACATGCTCACGAGAAAATTATGTTACTCCACACACGCAAAAATTTACCTTCCCGCGCGCACAATAAAGTACTCACGCACAAATTCAACAACCGAGAGTTGTACAGGTAGCTGTGAGCGAGCACCTGGCATGCTGTCAAAGGATAACTCTGCCTGCACAGTGGAATCCCGTTTGCGCAGCGTGGGCTTGTGCACTAGATTTCTGCTCGCTCGAGTCTACATGACTTGACAATTTTGGGGCGGAAACCAAGGAGGGCACTGACCATCTTATGATTGGTCACTTTCAATGTGATCACAACCAGAGCCCTTAAATAAGAAAGTTAAGACCCTCCCATTGACTTCTGTCGGAACTGTGGAATGCGGAAGTGATGCATGTCACAGCCGATAGTTCCAAACACTGAATAGTTCTGAAAACATTGTGATTTATCATTGTCAGCTCTTTTGGGGAACACCGCAAGCAAGATATAGGTATTGTTATATAATTAAGTTTCTTAAAGAAACTGATTTAGATTTAAATTCTGTTTTGTTTATTTATTTTACTGCTTAATCTCTCGTTCCTCACTCCAGTCCAGTTGGTGGCGGTAATGCACCATTAAACTGGTTTGCCCACCACTAATAAACACAAAAGAAGAAGTTCCAGCGCTGTATCCCATTCATTTTTCTCAAAACAGCTCCCTGACACATGCCAGCCGGATATCTAGCATGCCAAATATCTGGAGAAGTCGATCGACTCGACATCCAGCCAATGAGAGCAGGGGCCTTTACCATGAAGCAGGATTTGAGCTTATCCAGGTAACTTCGGGGTTAACCCTGGGTTTTCAGTACCACGACAGACCAGAGTCTGAAGCACAGGGAGATGTTAGCTAGCGCTAACCGCCGTCACTTTGCAGCAGTTGTGGAAACGAACAGATTTTATCAACGGACACACTGTGACCTACACTGTAAATTTACTGCCAGACTGACAACTTATTACTTGCCCGCTTTCAGCGCCACTTTCTGACGTACGTTCTCTCTCATTTGCTCATCTACTCACTCGCTACGCACACACATTGCTCTGCAGTTAAAAAGACCTAACTCCGCTGCTCTGATAACAGCACCTTTCACGTAGAGGTCCTTTGAGGAAAGAGGAGAGGAAGCTTGCAAAGCGTGATTTACTGTGCTCACATAGTGTGCGGGTAAAAATAATTTGTTCCGCATTGTTATTAAATTATTCAGTGAAATTTTAGTAGCAGCGGGTATAATTCAGCAGAGGCGATGTGCCGAACATAGGGGAATCATGTCTGTAATGTGCATGTCAACATGACCTTATTAATTAACATTTAGATAATGGATTGACCCAAGCTTTAATAGTTGAGCATATTTACAGTACAAACCAGTGAAATATGAGGGCTAAAAAACAAAAAAAACAACATTCAAAAAAAAATAATGATTCAATAATCGTACTCGAGGTGAAATGTTCAATTAATCGTGATTTAGATTTTTTGTGAAATCCTCCAGCCCTAGGGTGGACTCACTTCTGTTGCCAGCGGTTTAGACATTAATGGCTGTGTGATGTGTTATTTTGAGGGGACAGCAAATTTAAACTGTTATACAAGCTGTACACTCACTACTTTACACTGTAAGTGTCATTTCTTCAGTGTTGTCACATGAAAAGATATAATCAAATATTTATAAAATGTGAGATACTGTGTATATAAAACAGCATCTGCAGTTTTTATGCAGCAAGGCATTGATAAAAATTCTAAATATAGACAGCTGGTTTTGATATTATCAAACAGCGTTTCAGGCTCATTATGTTCAATGCCATGGCACTGGTATCAACGAGTGGCAAAGAGGCATAATGAAAAACAGTGGGGAATAACTTTTTAGGCGGGGCAGTGATGTACTATCCTCTCATCTAGCTGTTAGACGTTGTTGTCTCTCCGTGGAGAGCGAGCTTGTAGGGCTAGCAAATTAAACTGCTTTTCAACAGGAATTCATATTATGCTACTGGTAAGCTATATAGTACATATTATGAAATTATAGTAAATGTAGTCACATCATGTCATTGTCATCCCAAAATGACATCATCAGATGTCATTTTGGGGCTTTAAACTAGAAACTAATAGCATATTTAACTAGCAATTTGTGTCATTTGATTTTTTCTGACAGTGACAGGCTCAACCAACCAAACATCTTGCAAGGTTTACAGACTTCAAAATCAAATCCCTAACTTCTCACAAACCCTTTTATCTAAAAGCTCAGGCTCTCTGAAAGCCACAAAATGCTGCCTTTCAAAAATGGCAGCTAAATGGAAAGTGAAGCGTCATTTTTACCTCGTCAGACTCCAGAGCCATAGACTCCACCCTCTCTGGGCTGTCCAGGAGCTCCTGTAGCTCTGATTGGCTCAGGTCCTGGAGCTTCTCCATTTGATTTGCCAGGACGGCTGTCCGTCATACAGGAACCAGGAAATAATAGTTAAAAACAATGTTTGAGAACTTTTGTACTTTAATGTTATTAATCTTGAGTAGATTATCAGTCACCGACTTATCAAGCCATTGTTGACAACTCAAGACCAACAAACCATGTAACCTGCAGCCACTCCCTTTATAAAATAAACACCATGTTCATAGTAAGGTTATATGACAACGGTGGGCATTTTTTTAAAAAAAACAGAAGTGATAGTAACACATTTAGAATGCAATATTTTGTACACACTAATTGTTAGCTAGCATATTAAAGTAATACTATCGAGGACTGTAACTTAGGCCACAAAACAGAACAAGCTGTCCAGACGAACACTGGTCACAGTGAAGCAAGAAAACAGGAGAAAATGACCTGGTACTTACACGATGCTAGCAAACCAAACTCAGCCTGACACTGACTGGCGGTGACATCCAACACCACCTATTTCTTTCCACTGACAGGTGACGTGACACGTCCTCAGGATCTCCGACCTGTCCTGGCAGAACCCAGCTAAATGAGAGGATACCGAGTCGTTTTCGACGCACTGTGCCTGCTGAGCTAGCTAGCTACTCGACCGACGTCCAATCCAACCCGATGGTTCCGCGTTGAGCAATCTAAACACAACAACAGTCGGTATGATCGCAATGTCAGGCACTTAGCCACAGCCAACTTCCAGGGAAGCCCAGCGATTAGGCGATCAAAAACGCAGCGTAGAATGACACCGCCCGGTTCAGATGAACACTGTCAAACGTCTCTGTGTTCCGAGAATGCTTACTTTACCAAGCAGACGACGGCAGTCGACAAAATATGTTGGATACTGACTGGATTTTCTCTAAAAATAGGAAAGTTTCACTCCACACTGACAGAAACCGCCGCCATTTCAGGGACCATCCACGTTCCGTTGTTTGGGGGGGTGATCGGACAAAATTTAAATGTTCTAAAACAGCACTGGTGAACTTTAAAGAACCCCCGATTCATGGTTCTAAACGTTTTGAATACTTACTGTTCCCGACACATTTAGGTGCTATTATTTTAACTGAGCCAGTTTTCCCTCTGGTGTCCCCAGATCGCAGTGTAATGGTGGGGTCCTGTGCTCAGCTGATGTAAGGGAAACCCCTATGTGACGGTCATATTCCATCTACTGCTGCCAGTGTGCTACCAACACTTCTGTCAGACAGAATCTCTGTCCCTGTTCTGCTGGAGGAGCTGCACGCCACTGCTGTCTTTAGAAACGAGGATCGCTGTGTCTGGAGACTTTGAATAACACTTAAACTAAACACACAAAACGATACGATATTCCACCAAATGGGTGCCATTTGGCTGTTGTCACCCTTCCAAAATAAACTTCACTTTTGATGTTTTTTCAACAATGAATCTAATAACACACACATTAAACTATTTAAAATATGTAATGGCCACTCTCAGGCGAATTTATTTAAACTTTGCAAGGTTTGTAAGCGGAAGATGGCTGCATTTCTCTCTGCTTAAAACTTATGTGTCATTTTGAAACCATGTTTAAAAGCAAGTCAAATAATTCCTTTGTTTTTCCCTAAAGAAAGTGTTTATTTTAAATAAATTGTTGGTTACATGTTCAAAAAAATGAATATTTGTGACAAAAAATGTACTTTATATGCATGCAAGTTGTATTTTTCTAAAAAAAATGCATCACTTTTTAGTTTTAAAGGAGACAGAAACCTCAGGTTCATCAATGTTTTATCATGTAATTTATTAAACAACTGGATAAATGACTGGCCAATCATAATAGAAAAAATGGTAGTTTATCTTATTTTTTATGAAATATACCAAATGCAAAGAAATGCATGGTACCAATGGATGCATAAGGTCATCTAGTTTCATATGATAATAGTATCTTCACTCTGGATTTTGAATAGAGCCCATGAAAAATATGAAAGATCCCCCCTGGGCACGGTCCTAAGGAGGTGAAGAGAGTGTATTTGAGTAACTGGACTGAAAGTAACAGGACTGAGTTTTTAGCATAGAATTAGCAAATACATGAAATATTTGACATGGCGTCCATTCTAATAGCACAAGGACAATGAGCACCTTCTAGTGATTCACCACAAATTTGTATTTTTAAAATAAACAATTAAGTCTAAGTGGTGGCGCGGTTAGCACGGTCGCCTCACAACAAGAAGGTCGTGGGTTCGAACCCGTCCTGGCTTTTCTGTGTGGAGTTTGCATGTTCTGTCCGGGTGTTATGGCTTGCTCCCACTGTCCAAAGTCATGCGGGCTAATTGGTGCCCCTAAATTGTTCTTGGGTGTGAGCGTGACTGGTTGTTTGTCTATGTGTGGTCCTGCAATGGATTGGCAACCTGTCCAGGGTGTACCCCCGCCTTTCGCCAGATGTCAGCTGGGATTGGCTCCAGCCCCTGTATGCAGGATAAGCAGTTGACGATGGATTAAGTCTAAAAAATTATCTAACACCTTTTGAGCAGTTTCCCATTACTGTTAAACATACAAAATGGGCAATAACATTTGGACAACTTTAAATTCAAGTCCAAAAGACACACTTCCATTCCAAGCAATAAAACCCAGAAGGCAAGAATCCAGCTAGCATGAATGATGCTGTTATTGATATTAGCAGGTATAGTTTGATATGCTACTAGTAGTAGCACAAGCAGCAGTCATGGTTTTTGTAGACTATTAGAACTTGTCCTAGGCTCTCTAAATGTAGTTTTAGAGTATCAGGACTTAAAGCAAGGAAAGTATCTGTACCTGAAATATGTTAGGAGTTTAAGAAAGGGGGTTCACGATTATGTTTTTTTTAAGCTACGGTAAGCATCATTGGAGAACTAGCAACAGCAACTACAATTGAAAGTGTCCATATGACACGGTTGTCTGTTAACTGTATCCTAGTCCAAGCACAACTTTCAGAGCCGTAAAGAATATCCAGTAGACCAACGCTCAGTCCCCTGTTGGTCTCTAAACATAACAGGCCTACTGATGTCAAAGGATTGCCAAATGAGTCCAAAGAATTGAGGCGATGATATGAAAACAAAACAACCTATTCATAACAGCGCTTTTTCATAGTAGCTGACACATCGCTGAGCCACAGTGTGAACAAAGTTTTTTTATTAATAAAAGTATGTAGGTAGTGTAGGGTTCCTTATGGGAGTATACCACATGCCACAGTAAAAATACACAAGAATATTTTCCATAATAAAGAAATACTTTCATATATTTTTTAATTCTAGCACAGTGCCAGAGAACGTTAAGCCCCGGAGGTTTTTAGCTCATAACAAGAACAGAAATTCTGGTAGAAGACACAGCAAACATGTTAAATGTCAGCAGGCTTGTATGCTGTGTCTTTGTTCTCAGCATCCTGTACAGATGCCCTAGTGAGAAAAAAATGCACAAAGCACACCACTGGACCTTTTTCAGGGTTCTTATTCAGGGTTTTTAATTCTATGAAAGAATGTAAAATGTCTTTTCCTTAGTTGTATGGAGTTTCAATGCCTATTTTAGGCAGTTGTTTGGTTCTATGTGCACTGTATGGTTACTGCTATTAGCAAGTGTTTCCAGCAGGCAGCATATTTTAAAGCAGCTGTACAAAGTCAGAGTGTGTGTGCAGATGTGCAGCATCAGATGGCAAAAACACAGTTACAGATTAGCTTGTGAAGAAAGTCAAATATCTAGCAGCTGAAGAGCCAAACCAGAGCTTAAAGACAGAGAATACTGGACTGAATGCTATTGTTGCTTTGAATCAGTTGCTTATTTTTTGCTCTTATGCGTAGGGATTTGGAAGTTCTACGGTTGGGAAAATGTAGTTCCAAAGGAAATAACTGTCTGATGGCAAGGTAAACTTGAACTGATATACATTTTTTCTGGTGGGCCTTCTTTCAGGTGTCTAAAATACATTAGCTGCTGACTCTGTCCACAGCAGTAGGTTGCTTAGCTTATGTGTCAGTAAAATTCTCTGCTTCTCCAAACTGGGACACACTGACCACCATCTGCTGAAGGTAATAACACTGACTGTGTCGCTTTTAGTACGGTGATGGACACAGAAACTTAGCTTAGTGTGAAAACAGGAAGAAGGTTTAGCGTTTAATTCATACACAAACAGAGTAAAGTAAAAACTAGAATGTGTGCTTTTAGTAGGAGTTAACATGTTAACTGAGCTTTAGAGGTGAAGTTTGCTGCTTCCAGTCTTCTGCACTGGGTTGCACCAACTATGTGTATGTTCAAAATTAGCCTAGTTTGAACGTAATTTCTAAGTCGGAGTTTACGTGCTACTAACGTTTTAAGGGTTGCACCAGCTGAAATACGTCCAACGTAGACATAAGTTACAACTTAAATCTTACACCTAGTCCTTAATAGGTGTAAAGTCCTCCATAAAATAGTCAAGTGGTTGTCATGGCGCATCGTTTTCAAAGGGGGGGGGGTGACTGGGATCAGGAGGAGCAAATTATACCAGGCTCTTCTGCTTAACTGAGCGCACACAGCCTGGATGACAGCTCATTTCAGTTAATGAAGCAAAATGCAGATCACAGACTGGTTAAAATGAAGGTATGAATTGAAAATGTGCGAAATTAAGAGTAGATTACATGCCAAAGAAAATATTGGATTAAAGAGTAAAAATATAAATAATAAAGGAACGTGAAAAGGCAATGACTTATTTTTATTTATTTATTTTTGCAAATTTGCGTAAAGTTACTTGTAACAAGTTACTCCCCACCCTGCTGCAGGCACTGTTGTCTTCAGGTAGGCTGTAATAACAGCAGCACAGAAGAAAAGTCTGTAATATTGAGGCACTTAGCTGCCTTCAGCAAACTCGTATTTTTTCTCCCGTAACTTTTCAGCATCTCCTTTGCGTTGCGTCGGATGTTTTCTATAGGCCTAACTTACACGTTTTTTGTCCGCGTTTCAACCGTTTAATTATGTCAGATGTGGAGTGATTGATTGACTAGCCACTCATAGTAAACCTTCTCGCCTAGCCAACTCCAAAATCACCAGAGAAAAGGGGGGGGGGGGGGCTCAAACATAGATTTTGAAATATGAGGGCATAATAGTATATAAATATATAAGTTATAATGTTACAATTTCATATGCCCGTTACACTTTCGTTACACTACGTTTGTTTCGGGCTCCGTTAAATTACGTCTATGTTGTAGTTAACAGTTTTACCACTCGATGTCTCTGAGACTAGCCGTAGATTAAGGTTTCATAGTTATCACCTAATCATAATTATTTCCTTGTATAGGTCCCTTTTTGTTGGTTTGTTGCTATTTTTAGCGGTTAGCCTTTTCAGTATTGCAAACGTTGAAAAAGAGAGAGAGACAAACAGATGACAAAACCTTAATAAACTAATAGTAACTAGTTTCAACATATTGTTTAGTGTGGACCCTAACTTAAGGTAGAACTTACGTATTGCTGGTGCAACAGGCTGCTGTTTCTTAAATAGTGCCTCTAATGCTACAGGCTTCTTTTGACCGTATAGCATGATTAAGTCGCACACGCAGCAGCCAATTAAGTCACTTGGCATGGGTTGTATTGCACCCGACCAACAATGGATTTTAGAGGCCGATATTGATATTGCTATTTTTAAAGACAGAAGATATATATCGGGCAATAATATTTTTGAAACATAACATCAATAAACTACTGTATCTTAATAAGGATCACTTAAATGTTTTATTTATTGATTAACTGATTTTGTGATTGACATTTTACAGTGTAAAAATCAGCTTGTCAGAGCTGTCTGGTGGACAAACTGTTTCTAAATTACCTCAAACCTACTTTGGTATTTCTGTACTAATGTTTAGGGTTATTGATCCGACCACATATACACTGATATATTATAATATAAATATTAATGATGATTTAAAAATAACTTTATTTTCATGTATTATCTTTAACATGAATTTCCTTGAAAGTTAATTTCTGTTTGAGCACTTAGGCTCAGTGTGTGAATGTGAGTGAATGGTGAATGCAGATGTAGTGTAAAAGCGCTTTGAGTGGTCGAAAAGACTAGAAAGGCGCTATACAAATACATTTACATACCGAAACAACAAAATGGGTCGTTTGTCATTGCCTCACAAAACGACATATATGACCATTGGAAAGTACCAATCCAGGAACAGGCATACTGGACCTTCACTACGTGACATAATCACGTGACGTTGTAAAATATTTCATCATCTATTTACTGACTATTTAATTCTGTGCTAAGAACTTATTTCCTGCCGGCCACTGCTGTGATGTCAGACTCTATGATGTCAGAACACATTTTCATCCGTACTATGAAAACTCCAAATCCACTAAAAGAGAAATCTGCTTTTAAACATTTGTAAGGGAAAAACAAGTGGTTTTCAATTCAGCTGCTGATAAGGAGTTATTCACCATGTATGTGTGTATTAGTCTCTTCTGAGGGCTTTGAGAGCAGAGACAGACAGGAGGCAGTGCAGGACCGCAGCCCAAGTGTCATGCAGCAGCAGCAGCAGTGTCACACTCCAGCAATAGGCCTGCAGGAGACAAGAAAACGCATCATACACACACACTGAAGTGACTAACTACATCTCCTTCTGCAATAACTTACATTACATAATCTACTTAACATAATCCACTTTTCCTTATCTCTCTATTTTTATTTTTCCTAGGAAAGAAAAGTTTGATAAAAGAAACACACTGACCTGCAGAAGCTCCCCAGGACACCCATAACTTGAATGTCGTCCGTATTCATGGCCAAGAGAAACGTACACACACAACTCTTTTTTGTGTAAAATGATGAAGCTGTAGCAGTAGAGGCAGAAGGCGAGCAGCGCCCCCAGCAGGCCAACCACATTACTGCATGCACAACTCCGAAGCTGTGGAGGGGGGCAGTCAAGATCCATCACTGTGCACTTCGAAACACCCATACACTGGTTATATTGTAGTAGTCTTATTATTATTACAAGTAATGTAATATCACAAAAACATGGCCTGACACTTAAGTTATTCCTTGGGCTGACTATGAATATCATGAATGTGAAATTCTTAAATTACACATTGTAACACTTGAGCTTACATGACATCTTATTGCTTACAAAATATTTTGTGGAATGTGAAATAAAAAACCTTCAATACTGTAAGGGCTAAGTTTTTAGCCTAAATGCTGTTAGAATGGAAATCTTCTATGATATTTCTATGCTGGGCAGATCCTATGTGAACATACCAGTAGTCTGCTGGGGTTCCTCTCATTGGCCATGGTGAATGATCCTCCTGCCACAATCTGCACACACATATGTGATATTGAGGTTGAGCTCTAAAGCAAAATGCTTATGCATTGTACATTGATTTGAGTTATATTTGGCTATTGCATTCTTGCCTTATAATGGACTGTAATGTTGTATAAAGTCATATGTGAATGCTGACAATCTGCAAGATCAGATTAATATACCTTTTGGTAAATTTGACCCTTTCTCCCCCATGTCATTAAAGACTCTTTTAAGAGTGATACAATGTTTACAGTAGCATCATTTATGAAATGCTTTTTCTATTCTGTGCTTAAGGTAGCTGAAACTAACAATAGACTAAGAATTAGAATAAGAATACATACTAAAATTCCTAAGACAAGTGGCAGTATGTAGAGCTTTGGCAGAGTTTGGTCAGCATAAGCTAGCGGGACAGACAGCAGCACCTGGAACAGCCCCAAAAGGATGGTCACCACCTACACAGAGGCACAGATTTGGAATTACACTCTAGTTTAGTAATAATTTATAGGAAGTTAGACTTTGAATTCAAATAAAGTCAACGTCCTGATCTCACCGCAGCACTTTCAGGGTCAAACCAGGCGAAGAGTCGATGTAACCTGGTTTCACCTGCTGGCACTGTCCCCTCAGAGGACATGTTACTGCAAAACACGAAAGCCCACTATTGTTAAAATCAAACCAAATTTAATCCACTTTGGATTACATCAATATTAACACATAAACAAACATCAGAAATTTCACGCGTTGTCACCAGCCAAGTGAACTCTCCCTCAGTCCCCAGCCCTGTAACCCAAAATTCTGATCTTCAGAGATTGTGCTCCTGTAACAGTGCATTAAGATATCAGCAGAGGATGGAGAGGCCTAGTTAGAAGACTACAATGCACAAATATAGGATATACCGGATAAAGATTAAAGGTGGGTTAAGCAATTCTAATCCAATCTTTTTGTCAAATACAGCAAATATCTCCTCACAGACCACTAGCTGTCCATTCTGTGCGGTGCTGAAAAACACTCAGCCTTGGCTCTGCAAATGGGAAACAAACAAAATGGCCCACACCCTGCCAAACAACACTATTCCAGTCGCCCCAGCCATGATGTGTGTGTCAGAAATGTTTAATGACTTGCCCAAGGACATTCAGCTTACTTTCTAGTAACATGCTGTTGTTTTGATGTTAGTAAGGCCCTATGATTTAAGTCATAGACGGAATGGCTCCTCCACACACACACTAACACACACACACACACACAGTCATATTGAAGAGTCAGCGTGCTAGCAAGAGCTTGTCACTTCAACAAACTTTCAGAAGTGCAACATGCTAGCTCGTTAAAGACTTCGTGGCTGTGTGTCAGACATTCTGTTCGAGTCCGGTCAAGCTTTGTAAACAAGGAGGAGCGCTGCCACGTGAGAGTAGCCTCCATCAGATGTACTTACACAGTGTGTTCAGCAGCAGAATAGCTGTCAAGTAGTAACAGTTTGATAAATGACAATTCACAGTACATGTACTGCAACAATGCATTCATTTTGAATTGTCCTATTGAATAGTATTGTAGTATTTTAATATCCTACTGTTGCAATACATTTTTTGTATTGGAGCTGCTGTGCTGGCTCTGCGATCGTCTTGTCCTCTCTGCATATTATCTTAATATTAGCTGTGCAGCAGCAGTTGTAGTCAGTTTGTTAACCCACAATTTAGCTAACATTAGTTACATTACTCGCTGTGTCATTGTTGTGCTCTGTATCGTGGTATTTGTCATGGTGTTCGATTTCTCCAGAATCACATATTCCACCTTTAAGGTCCATAAATTACAGTGTAAATATTACGCACATATCAGGTGGCAATGAAATAGCTACAGGGTATTTACTGGTAGGTAGAAGTAACAATTTTCCATTTAGGAGCGACCTAGAAAAAAAAATGTAAATACTTTGTCAACTACCCAGTACATATAAAATAATTGCAGGGTAATTATTTAATTAACGAATAGCACTATTCTTTACAATAGAAAAGAGTAGAATGTGTCCAATAAACCCAAATAAAGTTTGTTTGAGTGCAAGATCATACTTTATGATGTGATGATATGACAGCACATAAAAGGTGATTCTTTGACATTGGCTTTAACCCTGTTCCTAAACTTAACATTTGTTTGTTCCCCATTATTAGAAACACTATATTAATCATTTTGAGGGTGTGCTTTAGCAGTCAGACATGTGGACTTGATAGCAGAACCTGCTGTGTTATTATTTTCTACTGATATTCCTTCCCAATGTACACAGTACAGTAAATGTAACAGACCGAGCACCTGTTGAAATGTAAAAGCCTTGCATTAAACAGTTTGTCAGGATGTTTGTCCCTCTTATTTAGGGTAGATAAAATGAAAAGTTATTTAGGGTAGATAAAATGAAAGGTTGAATCAAAATTGGTTTGACTGCAGGAATATAATCTTTTCCAAAGAATAAATGTTGTCAATAGCGAATAATGTTAAATGTTAATGTTAAAAAAACATAATCAGAGAGAAAGAGTAGCAGACTGTACAAGAAAAGACATGAATAGAGCCAAAGAACAACAGAGGTAGACCACATGATCATGAGACACACCACTGGAGAGGGCAAAGAACAGTGGGAAACCATTGAAACTAAGTAGCATGTGTGTTGTATCTGTTTGGACAGGGGAAGGGATTGAGAAATAGAGAACAAAATGAGGTACAGAGAGAGTGTGTTAGTTCATCAAAACCACATGTCACAATCCTCTTAGGAAAGACAGGAATGCAGCAGGATGAAAAGCAGATGTGGTGTGAGGAAAGGAGGAGGACAGGGAGAGAAAGAAAAGAGTGGGGACTGAGGGGGATGGGGGTGGGGTGGTATATTGATAAGGCTCTGTGGAAATGAGGGGAACATTTTGTGCACCACTAGTCTAAAAACAAAGTCATTATCCTTCATTTGATTGTATTTTCACTTAACCAGTGGATCGTTGTGAACATAACTAACATGTTTTTCCTTAATGGTTCAGTGCGTAAGTTTTAATAGCATCACGCTGCATTCACATGTTCCTGGAATTAACATGAACGCTACAACAAATATGTGTTGGATTAGCATTAGTTCACTCTGCATGGACAGCAAACTAACCATTATAACCATGTTACAAATTACATGTTAGGAAAATATTCTACTATTCTAATGGCAAAAATCCACATTCATAAATGTAATTTCAGCAGTAAAAAAAACGTAGTTTGTATCTTTTCTCCATGAGGCTGTACATTATATCAATTTAATTTCTAAATCCAACCAAAACTTTCAACATATGGTCTTTATATAATATAGACTACCCCTGGCAAAGTTTTTATTATTCGTGTCTCATTATATATTAATATACTGTTCCGTATGTCCTGTTCTTTATGTCCTAGGTAAGGAGCAAAAAGAAATTCTGATTATTCCAACACCACATGAATACACCATCAGTCACCACCGCTCACCCCTCCATTTCAAACAAGCAAGTCTCTGTCGGCTCTTGTGCTCTTGTGTGGGCCTCCATTTGTCCAAATTTCACTTACCTTCTTACTTACTTACTAAACCAGACAACTACTACTACTACTAGTACTATTACTACTACAACTACTACTACTGCTAGTACTATTACTACTACTACAACCACTACTACTTGTTCTGCTTCTTCTTCTTCTATGTATTTAATGTAGTAACAAAATGCCCTCTGAAGAGCAGTTTGTCCATTTGGGCTACTGTATGAACATGGCGGCGCAACATGGCAACTTCCATATAAGAGAACCTGCGAGGTCTCATTCGAAGGTAATAATCTTTATACACCACAGCAGACATAGGTATGTATATTATATGGCATTTCTGTCAATAGACCCTTTCAAATATTACACACTCTGGAACTTTAAAGGGGCTATATGTAGTTTTTCAATGAAAAAAAAAACAAAAAAAGTACTTCCTTTTTGTCAAGGGGCTGTAGCCTCACTTAGAAATGAAGTGCACGCTTGTTTTCTCTGTTGCTTGCAGCAGCCACTATTCTGCTTTTTTATTTAATTTTAACCTGTCCTGCACAGCAGCCTGGTATACAGTATTAGGAGCTGGATACCACGTTGTTGCAGACAGATTTTACTTTATTAAGAGACTTTTAATATACTCCTTTGTCTGTTTTTTTTGTCTATGTGAGTATGTGTGTCTTTGTGTGAGTGTATGTGTGTGTGTGTGTGTGTGTGTGTGTGTGTGTGTCTGTGTGTCTGTGTGTTTATGTGTGCATAAGCCTGTCACAGAATGTAATTGTTAGTGAGAGTGGGATGCCACAACAGCGCTGCACCAACCTGTGGAACCAGGTTCCAGTTTGGGTTCAGGAGGCAGACACCATCTCCACATTTAAGAGCAGGCTTAAGACTTTCCTCTTTGATAAAGCTTATAGTTAGGGCTGGCTCAGGTGAGTCCTGAACCATCCCTTAGTTATGCTGCTATAGGCCTAGACTGCCGGGGGATTTCCCATGATACATTGAGCTCCTCTCTCCTCTACTTTCTCTCCCTCTGTATGCAACCTCATCCCATTAATGCATGTTAACTCGACTTCTCCCCTTTCCAGTAGTCTTGTGCTTTCTCGTCCCTCTCCTCTCCCCTCCTATCACTTCCTGCAGGTGTTTCTGGCTCTGGAGCTGTGGAGTCTGGATCTGTGGTTGCGGGTCACCTGCTGCCCCCGTGTTCCTGCTCAACACCCTCTGCTACAACAACTATTGTTACTAGTCCTATTGTTCTCATTGTTATTATAATCATTAACATTATGATTGTTATCATTAACACTACTATACATATCTATACCATGCCCCTCTCCTTCACCCCCAACCGGTCGAGGCAGATGGCCGCCCACCTGAGCCATGGTTCTGCTCGAGGTTTCTGCCTCTTCAAAGGAAGTTTTTCCTTGCCTCTGTCGCATAGTGCTTGCTCTTGGTTGGAACTATTGGGCTTCTGTAAATAACATCACAGAGTACGGTCTAGACCTGCTCTTTTATGAAAAGCGCTGTGAGATAACTGTTGTTGTGATTTGGCACTATAAATAAAATTTAATTGAATTGAATTAAAAGGCAAATGTGAAGCAATTTGTTTATACTAGGCTATAGTGATACAAGGCAGGAGCAGCCAGCAACTATAGCACAGATCTACCACTCTTCGCAACATTAAATTAAGATTGGGTCAGTGAGGGAGCACAGGAGGAGCCACCAACGGTTTCATCTGCTCTTTAGACACAACAGTTGCCTGGGTCTTCATATCACTGTAAATGGACTTATTTTCTTTTTGACAACATCAGCGCTCCGCTGGATGCCAGATATGCGGCGGAGACTGTGCCTGTGATTTTAGACCAGTTAAGCGTTATGTGGATTTGGATTTCTCAACAGAGGTTTCAAACACCTCTAAGTCATCTGCTCCATTTTCAGGGTATGTTTCATAAAAAGAAAACTACAAAAAAACAGCGATTAAAAGCCGTTTAGCTCGGTGAAATGAGAAAAGTGGCATCGGTTGCTAGGTGACAGACATAAAAGTTGATAACCGATGTTGGATTGAGTATTTAGGATTTCCTAACCTGAGATAAGAGTAAGATAAGAAAGTATTCCTAAAGTTAGTTAGGATTTGCTTCTGTTTTACCAAATTGGGGAAAAAAAATCTTTGACTCTTCCTCTCTTAGCTTAAGACTTAAGATAGGAACTTTCTGTAATACGGCCCCAGAAGTGGAGCGGACCCAGAATAACTCTCATCAGCTGTTAGCTGTAGTTAGCTGTAAACACTAGCAGGACTTAAGTTACGGCTGTGTTAAAACTATGGCACAACATCACTGTGCTGTAATAATGTTATGCTTTGTTAAATATCACAAAATGATCAAAACATATATATATATATATATATATATATATATATATACACATATAAAATGTCAGTCCAGTGACTGTTACCTGAAAACCGACTTGCCTCTCATTCTCCGGTGCTGGCAGTAACTCAGCCTGCCCAGTGAAGACAGACTCTGAGGACCCATGTGAGTGGTGAACGATTAGTTCATTCCTGCTCCACAGTAGCTGCGATGTCACGTAAAAAATGAACGACTCAAACCCAGAGACCCACAGTTATGAGTCCTGAACTAATCAATTCTGTTTCCCATGTAGCTGCCGTGTGACAAGTGTTGGTAAGAGTCCAAAACTATGAACGAATTACTCACTGAAACAACACGTTTCTCCTGAGTCACATACAAGATTAGGTCAAATGAACAAAACGTTCTTTGAACGATACAACACTAATCGGCGACCGCAGTCTACCGCATTCTAAGTTCTAGCGAATAGTCCACATTTGTCCCTAGTTCATCACATCTAAATATTCTCCAAAATATTCCACGTACAGCAGCTAAGGCTGCATGTTGCTAAATTAGCCACAAAGCTAATGCCGTGTTTATCAGCGGAGGAGCGCTAACGTCGTAATAACCCATTAAACTATATTCTGACGTATTCTAAATATACCTGCGAGCCACCTGTCTAGGTCGGTGTGTCTGAAATGATTAAACCAGAGTGGACATGTAAATAAACGTTAGCTGAACAAGAAAATAACATGGCATCCTGTAGCTCCTCTTTTTGTGACGTAGATATGAAACGCTGTAGTCAGAGCTGTAACGGCTCTGGTTGTAGTTGTAGGTAAATGAAATCTCAAAGTTGTAAACAGTCATGTAGTATTAGATGCATTCAGCAGCAGCTCACTGACTCATAGATGGCATGATTTATACCGATGGTGGGTAAGAAATGGTTTCTTGTAGCTTTGTTTAGACTTAAATAGTGCTGATAAAGGGAAGAACTATTACGTGATTTATTTATAATATTATGATTATGTGTAAAGTGAAATACACATTCGTATTCTCTCTTACTCTCTCTGTTTACAGTTGCACCTTCCAGCAGCAAATATTTATTGATGTGCAATTGTTTACATGTTCACTTTTTGAGACTGGATTATTTTCCCTTCTTGGATTTTTTCAGTTGGGTCACCTGGTTTGTTTGAACTGTTATTTTTGGATTTCCTGGACTCAGCCACTCATTGTAAGTGTGCTCGCTTTGTTTGTTAATAAACTTTTAAAACTGTACCAATCAGCCTACGTGTCCTGCATTTGGGTCCACCAACCTTTCAACCACACAACCCTGACATTGGAGGGTGTTATTTAATGTAATCACGTAGTGTTACGTCCACCTGCAAGTCAATCTCAACACGGAGTCTGGTAGCTGTTAGTGATGTAGCTAGCTAACAACGTTACTATAATTCTGATAAACAACCTAGAATAATCCATTAGCCAGCTAGCTAACTAAGTTAGCAAGCATGCATAACACAAACATATTTAATTATGCATGACAGAAGAGTAATCACATACCTGTGGAGAGCTCTATGTTGAGGCTGACCTGTGGGTAAAAGTAATGCCATAGATACAACATTGTGCAGCTCTCTTCATTGACCTATCTAAGGCTTTTGATACCATGGATTACACAGTATTAAAACAAAGACTTCAGTGTCAGATTATCAGAACAAACACTCTGCTGGTTTGGAAACTATCTGGTAGATTGCAGTGCGTGCAGGTAGACAGTCTCACCTCTAGCCCTCTTAGTATATCCAAGGGTGTGCCCCAGGGATCAGTGCTGGGACCACTCCTATTTATATGAAAAAACAACATTCTTGATCAAAATGTCTCCAAAGCAAATTTAAAATCTAGTTTATGACAAAACAAAACATATCTTGTTTTCCAACACAAAATTAAAGTCACTGAACCTTCCATCCATCACCACTTCTCAGGGCTCTGAGAGTGAGTCTGTATCTCAAAACAGGTATCTTGGTATCCTAATTGGTGATTTTCTCTCTTTTAAACCTTAAAACCATTAAACATTCAGCAACTGGTGAAAAAACTGAAGGTGACATTGGGTTTTTATTTTAGAAACAAGTTGTATTTTTCCTTTGAGGCCCAAAGGAGACTTTCTGCTGTACTATTATGTCAGTGCTGGACTATGGCGATGATATATACATACATGCATCCATTCAAAGCCTGAAACTGTTAATAATCTTTACCATGGAGCTCTGAGGTTCATCACAAACATTAGAGCCCTTACTCATCATTGCTCCTTGTATGATCAGGTTGGTTGGTCTACATTGTACACCCGTAGACTTAATCATTGGCACATTCTTATTTATAAGGCTATTCTTGGTCTGCTTCCCCCAGACCTACAAATCTACATCCAAAAGAAAGGCACAGGAGTGGTCTTCATTGTCTTCATTCTGAGGACTTATTACTATTATCTGTCCCTCAAGTCTGGACTGTATTGGGAAAAGGGGCGTTTCAGTATGTGGCTGCGCTTGGAATCAGCTGCAAAATGTCCTGAATCTTCAGGAGCCGGTTTCACTGGTTGCTTTTAAAGTACTTTTAAATAACATGGAGGCTGGCAATTCTGGCTGTAGATGTTGATGTATGATGATTGATTACTTGGATGATCCTTGTTGTTTATTACTTAATTTTTTATATTTTATTATCTTGTAACTTACTATTTATTCCAATTGTAAATTGTGTTTAATGTTTATGTTGTATAAGAATCAGAAATTCTTTATTGATCCCCAAGGGGAAATTCTTATATGTTATAATGTCTGCAACCTTGTTAACTGTGCTGCAACCTGTCTTGGCCTGGACGCAAGACTTTTAATCTCAGTGAGTTTTTTTCTGGTTAAATAAAGGTAATATATACACACTGCTCAAAAAAATAAAGGGAACACTAAAAAAAATACATCCTAGATCTGAATGAATGAAATAATCTCATTAAATACTCCTTTATTTACATAGTTGAATGTGCTGACAACAAAATCACACAAAAATTATCAATGGAATCAAATCTATCAACCCATGGAGGTCTGGATTTGGAGTCACACTCAAAATCAAAGTGGAAAACCACACTACAGGCCGATCCAACTTTGATGTGACAAGTCAAAATGAGGCTCAGTAGTGTGTGGCCTCCACGTGCCTGTATGAGGTCTGGGGAACGGGCCAGTCCATAGCATCAATGCCTTCCTCTTGCAGGAACTGCTGACACACTCCAGCCACATGAGGTCTAGCATTGTCTTGCATTAGGCGGAACCCAGGGCCAACCGCACCAGCCATATGGTCTCACAAGGGGTCTGAGGATCTCATCTCTGTACCTAATGGCAGTCAGGCTACCTCTGGCGAGCACATGGAGGGCTGTGCAGCCCCCCCAAAAAATGCCACCCCACACCATTACTGACCCAGCGCCAAACCGGCCATGCTGGAGGATGTTGCAGGCAAACATAGGAACTGAGAAGTGGTCTGTGGTCACCACCTGCAGAACCACTCCTTTATTGGGGGTGTCTTGCTAATTGCCTATAATTTCCACCTGTTGTCTATTCCATTTGCACAACAGCATATGAAATTGATTGTCAATCAGTATTGCTTCCTAAGTGGACAGTTTGATTTCACAGGAGTGTGACTGACTTGGAGTTACACTGTGTTGTTTAAGTGTTCCCTTTATTTTTTTGAGCAGTGTATATTAAAAAACCCACACACACAAATGCAATTAAGTTTACTTGTCATGACAAGCGATTTGTAATGCAAGTTCAACTGTTGTACAATAAATGTAACAACATTCAAATATGTTTTTGATGAAAATTTCAAATACTTTGAAATATATATATATTTGTGAATTTCTATTACATTTATTTAAAACAAGAAATATGTGTGTGCATAATAATTTTTCAAACATTATTTTATTTGTGGATTTGTTTTACATGTATTTACAGTGATGCCTATTTTTTTGGAGAACTGAAAAATACTTTTGTGGAGAGAGTCATTTATACATAAATCCCAAAATACATTTGTGAATCCTTCTGCAAGCATTCATTAATATGAGAGATGGATCTGACTTGACCGGTAAAAAGTCCAGAGAACAAGCAAGGAGTAAACATGGCTGCAGTACGGGCTGAGAGAGTATCACTGGAAGACACCAAGTGCCAGATGGTGTCCTCACCCTGTCACTGACAGCAAAGGGTTTGACACCAAATATTTAAAGCTTTTTTGTAGTTTATGTAATATATGTCCATTGCATTTTGTCACCTAAGATTGTGACACTACATGGACATATTCCTTATCCTGTCATCTAATGTTTATGTAAACAAACTGGGAATAAAGGTCAAAGTTGGTGACTTCACTGTTCAAATCCACTGTGCCAAAACAACTGAAAATATGTCGCTGTCCTTTATGGACTGCACGAGCCCACTTGTTTTCTGTTTAGCTTTCAAAAAACGTATCATTAGCAACATACAACATTTGAATCAAAATAGTGTTATAAAAAGCAGTGGATGTTACTTACCTCGACTAGGTGTGCGATTACAAGCCTGAGATACCTCCTACAGGGTTTATGTGTCACACGAGAAAACAATCTTTACAATCCTTCAGATGAACTTTTAACAGTGAAAATCCGACAACAGAAAGATTTCTGGAATGCATGAAACTAGGAGAAGAAGGGGAGGAGGAGCTCTGCTGGACCTCATCCAGAGACAGTCTCGCTGTCGCTCTTTTCTCTCTCTCTCTCTCTAGCCTCGAATATATACCTACTTTCAGGAGTCAGCTTGGCGGACTCTTTTCACACATGCGCAGTAGATGGTTGGTGCCCTGGTCGCTTAGTGGGCACAAAACTTTAACACTTGCTTATCTCTCTGGCGGTTGTCTATCCCTCGCTATCTCTCTCGCGCTCCTAATAATCCTCGTACGAACCCGCCTGCAAAAAGAGAAGTCAGGGAGGCGCTTTAAAAATCAGAGTGGTCGTAAGAAGCCTAACTTATAAAGGAGGACACATTTATTAACTAATTTCGAGAGAAAAAAGGTAGGTTTGACACATTTTGTGCTTTCTTATAACAGACAACGGCCGACATAGGCTACTGTTACCGTCATAGTGATAGGGCCTTGGTTTTTACAGTGTGCTCAGTTCTATGATCGATATCGTACTTAAGTCCACAGGCACAAATTCTGAGTCAAATGAGCAAAGTCAATACTCT